AGGAGGCAGTTAAGTAAGACAAAGATAATTATTGCCCTCAATTAATTCACTTTCTTCTCCATATTAATTCTGGTACTTGAGTAAAAGAGGCCTCATGTGTGTTCTGCACATATACCCAGAACTTAAAGTACAATCATAATAATAAAAATGAGGCTCTGAAAAAAAGAGATAGGTCTATAAACCTTACTAAAGGAAAAATTAATAACATAATGATTTTTGTTTTTACAATAATGACAACTGGTAAAAATGTTAAGTGTTTGCTATATATTTGGTAAAATTCTACATTCCTTAATATTATTTAAGTTGCTTTCTACAAGAATCGTATGACTTATGTAGTGTTAATATTCCCATTGCACAGATGAAAATATCAAGGGAAAAGATTCTAAATAACTTATTCAGGGTTACATAGCAAATAATGTCGGCAACAAAAAATTAATTAAAATGAACTGCATAGGCTACTTGCTTACTTTCACTAGCATACCAACTAGGTAATATTACGGAAATGTTTAACTTTACCACATGTGAATACTATACATCAACTTTTCTCCGTTTTACAGACAAAACATTGTACTGATTTCTACCTCCATATAATCATAAAAATATTGTAGTTTTAATGCCCAGCCTTATTCGTAGCTGAGATAAATCACTTAGCACCGTGGAAATCAATAGGAAATAGATTTTAAATATTAAAATGAATAAATACAAAGGAACTGCATGAAATAAAGCTGTGTAAATTATTTTAATATGCTTTCAGCTGTTGTAAGGACACTATAAATTATATTTACTTTTTCTATTTTGCTTATGGTTTATATTTTCAAAAGTGAATTTCAAATTATTTAAACTACATGAAATGCCAAATTGATTTACTGTGTTTCCGGCCTATTAGTATGTAATTTGGTGGGAATCATCAGGAAAATGGATTATTTTATTCAGTTGGAGACATATTTGCATTGGTTTTACTGATGCCCACCTTGGCCAAATATCAGACAGTTTCCACAGCTTCTTGTCACTTTAAAATATCTTTTAAAATCTATTCTATTTATGAAAGACCTTTCTCACATCTAGTATATGATCTATCTGATACATCTCCTCACCTTTCCCAGAGGAGCAGACCTCTGCTGCTTCTGATCCTCTGAGGTCTGGGCAGAAAGGTAGATGAAAGAAGGGCAGAATAAATATTCTGGTGCTATCATAACCTCACAGTCGGTGACCACGGTGACCATGGGCATCTGAAAGCTGGTCCTCTATCATGGAGCACATGCATGAACGATTCAGAGACACAGCTCAAAGACGTGAGATCTCTGTTGTTCCCTCACCTGTGTGATGTATTATTTGGATGACGATCTTAAGCTCCCTTTCACCTCCATCTGTGCACAATTTCTACAGCTGTAGTCCCTTAAACTACTGAAAACTCGTTCAGCTTCACCCTGTCAAACAAAGACTGGGAAAGGCACTTCCCAGTTACTACCCTTTCCTCTTTCTGGTATTTCAGATGGATTGGCCAGCCAGTTTCAGAACTCTCTAGGAATAAAAGGGCAGCAAATGTTTCTAATAGGTCTCAAGGAACTACTTGCGATTGAGATGCTAGTCTTTCTTCTTTCAGGAAATCACAATTTCCATAGGTAGACAGATTTGAATATGTAAAAAGTCACATATTCCTTTCCTCCATTTATCTGTCTACTTAGTCTCCCTGTCTTTCTTTTGCTATCAAATATCAAAGAATATACAAAGTCTAAAAGCCACCTTGCAGGTTTTGAGTAGCCCTGAGAGCCCTATTATGCATCTGTTACCAAGTTCTACTTTAAAATATGAAGTAGGATTCTTATGCATGATGCATAATTTCATATTTCTTACATTTTGTGAAAATTCATTCATATGAGACTTTCTATGGCCATCATTAAATAAGCTGTTTTTGTTGAACAGTGCAACTTCATCAACTGTTTTTTCCTCCAGGTGTATCAATGAGTTCAAGCAAGATAAATGCCAAAGTTATGTAATTTTTAGAAAGATTTTGAAAAATCTTTACTGTATTTCAGTAACTACTCAGCACTAACCCATTTTGAAAAACACATTAATACCATATTAATCACCTATAAAAATAATCAATGGAAACCAAAAGAAATTCTACAAATGACTAAGTAAAATAGATTGGATTCATTACTACATTCATTCCAGAAATATTTATTGGTCACTTTCTATGTGGCATAAACATTTTGGAAAATGAGAAAGGAACAAAACTGAACAATTTCTTGCCCACTCAAGGTTATATTTGAATAATGAATAAAGACAACAATAATACTAGGTACCTGAGTAATTTAATACAAAGCAAGACGAAGCCAGAGTCACTGGAAGCAGCAGTGGTCTTTCTGAGGAAGTTGCAGCTGATCACAGACCTGAATGAAATGAGGTAATGGAAAATAGAAGTGTCTGAAGGAAGACTGCTTTAGTAACTGAGGTGGAGAGAGGAAAGGGGAGAAACTGCAGAAGTAAGCAGGGATGGGAAAGTTCATGACTTATGGGGAAGGTGAGGAACTTAATTTTTCTTGTTATTAAGCTGCAAAGCTGTGGAGATCACCCAGACTTGGGAAAGAAACAGACCATGCATTCTAACAGAATAGCATCAGGTGTTGTTATAATAGTCCACTGTTGTTTATTGAGCAGTTACATTTTGTCAGGCACTGTTGGTGCTTCTGCTTCTACGTTATCTTATTATTAATTCTTCATAACAACTATGTGAAATAGGTTGATTGAACCTCATTTTACAGATTACAAAGTGAGGTCTGGAAAGATTAAGCAGTTTAGCAAATATTATATGTTCATTTAATTGAAAGCAACCAATTTAAACACAGTCTGTTAGGCTGAAGCACAAGCACTGGTCTTAATTTTCTTATTTTTATCATTAACAATTTAAAGCTTACATACAAAGCTGTGAGTCAACTGAGGGGGATAATTAAGTACTGTGGGTATTAATGGGAAGCTGTGCTATTTTCATAAATATTTTGCATTAATTTAGACTTTATTAAAATTTACAAAAGTAAATTCTTAATGTAATGCTGTTAGCTTAAGAGCTGTGTTCTTGCAACACTCATGTGACTAGAAAAAATGTAAAATAGTTCTTGAAAATATTACAAGGTATAATTTCTAGAAAGTTGGAACTTCTCTACTAAAATCAGATAGCATCTTTTGATGTTGTGAAAAGGAACATATTTTAGACTTCCAAACAGATGTGCAATCGTGTCTGTGCTTTTCCTGTGTATCTTACCATTGACAATCTTAACACCACCTCAACCAGGATCTAGATTAATATATCTTTTTCCTGCCACTGGACACAAATGTTAAAACTACTTGTATGGGTATTCCATTAATATGCATTTTAATGAGTTATTCATCCAAATTTATTCCTTGTTTATAAGGCTTTTATTCATACAAAACTTCTGTGATCCGCAGAAAGTCTTATTTCCTTTTACTAGTCTATTTTCCATGGATTGCTCCATCTGTTGTGTATCATACTTTCTAGTTTTCTACCAGGATTACTTAACATTCTTTTTTACGTTTTCAATTTTCATGTCAATATGATAGAAACATAAATGTTCTTTGAATTTGTACATTTCTATTTGACTTGCAAATTTTTGCTCTTTTAAATTTTCTCTTGTTTGGTGTTTTTACTCTTTCCAAAGTAAATAATGATATCAATTCATAAGGGTTAACTACATCTTATGTCTTCTCATCTACTTTTAAAATCTTCCTAAATTATTTTACTTGAAATCTGATTTTCTCATGCTTTTGCAAAGTGATCATATTTGTGTCACCAACCTAATGATGCCTGTTTCAGATTGATGAAAAATTTTCTTTATCATGTGATATAGATGTTTAAATTTCAAAGTACCAAGAAAAAATATTACAACCATGTAACTACTCCATCCATGGTTCAAAATTACGCAAATTATTTGATTTAAACACATATGGCCAATTGGGTTCAGCTCAGTTTCACATGCTATTAATAAAATATGATCATATGAATCAATTTTAACTTTATATTCACTGTTCTCTTCTTGTTCAAACTATAAATTTTGAAGTCCACCTTGATTTGGATATAATAACAAAGATCATTCTTAAAAGGTCAATTAAAATTAAAGTGTTTTATTATCTCGTTATCTAATGTTACCATAAAGCTGTATGCCCAACAGCTTAGCATTGATTTCCTTCTTAAGGCTGCAATAAACACAACTATTGCACCTGATTTTGTATTCAGAAATATAAAAATGACACTGAAACATCAATCATTTTCTAAGCTCTTAACAGAAAAGGAAATACTGAGAATTGAGTGATGTTTTATTCTATTACTGGTAACAGTCAATTCAGTTGATCATAATAGAGTTAACAGTAATTGAAGTATGAATCCAGTATTCCTTTAACTTGTCTAAATCATTTTTAGTAGGTATAAAAAGTCACTTCAATTTTGCCACACTTTCCACCAATTTCATGAATTTTGCATTTAATTATGAGTAAATATTGACTTGTATTGTGCTATTGTATTTTGACATAAGAATGTGTTTTGAGTTGCATATGAAGATAATCTATGACAAATGTCTAAATATATTTTCCCTTTTTATACAAAGTTGTAACATAAAAAAATACAAATTTATACTATACAACTCTAATTAATTAATATATACCAAGTATCTGATCAAATCTGAAATCAGTTTGCAAGAGTGCTCTTGGCAAAGGTTTTAAAATATCAAACTAGAACGAACCATGGAATTTTAGCCAGAAACCTGCTTTTCATATAAGTTAAATGTTTTTAAACATGTAATCACCCACATTACCCTAGGTGTTGAAGTTTATCTCCATATAGTATCAGGAACTTAGCCACATAAACATTTTATTCTTATACTGTGAAGGAATAAAAATGGGTAAATAAAACAACACTAAGATAACTCAATTCAGTGCCTTTCTCACATTTACCATTTAAAAATTTCGAATATTTGCATTAGATTACATTGAAAAATAATAGAGGAATATTTTAGTTATATGCTAGAGCTGGCTTGTACTGATGCCTGTGAGTTGATTGTTTACATCTCTTTCCACATCTCTGTTCAACCACAGCATGTAGTTAGCTTAAAATAACCATTGGGTATTTATTCCAGGGAAATCACAAAACTCTGTAGACTAGGGCTTTCCTGGCCAACAAGCCGGGACACAAAACTCTTTACTAAGACTACCATTTGGTTCGAATACACATTAGCACTTTAAAAAATTTTGATGTTAAAAAGCCCTAATTATTTGACTGCACTGCAGAACCAAACATGCATGCTAATCTGTTAAAGCGAGGTCCCAACTCGTTAAGGTAATCGTAGCTTTCATCCTGATCAGAGACTGCTGATTCTAAGGAGCTCAGGGATCCAGCTAATGACCCTGTTCCCTCAAAAGCGTAGGTCTGGAGGGAATCAAAAGGAGGAGCACACGGATCCGTATTAGCTTCTTCGAGCTTTTCCAGAATGAACTGCCTGAATACGGCACTGTCGGGGCCCACTTGCAAAGACTGCCGGTATAGGCTCCTGATCTCGGCGCAGGTGCTTTTCCCCGGCTTGCGTTCCCGCATGACGGTACCACTCCTCAGCTCTGCTATATCGAAGGCCTCTGTATCTTCTTCTCCACCCCCTTCATCATCATATCGGAATATATTCTCTCTGAAATCTTCACTTTTCTCAGGAAATAGAATCTGTTTCCTTCGTGGTTTTAAGCCCAAAGTCAAAAAAATAAAACCTGAAGAAGAAAGCATATCAGAATATCAATAAGCAGTAAAGAATATTATAAACTTTCCAGTCTTTGCTCTCATTTCAAGCTCAAGATGAGTGCTTAAACTTTATGATTATAAGGCAAAAGGATACATTTGTTATTGAAAATTTGCCAGAGGGACTTGAAAAATGACGAAAGTATCACGATTTTTCTGGCTGATGACTTAGAGACAAAGAAAACCGTAAAACTATAGTGAACTATCTTAAATGATGAACAATTTGACATTCAAAATCTGTTTTTTCTCACATATTAAAATAGAATAAAGTAGAATGATAAAATTTTGCAACCTGAATGCATTTGTCAACTTTAGTGGCCAATACTTCATATTAATAGTAGCTCAGAGCAACATAGCAGTTTGATATTCCTTACTGAAGCAAAATTCCATGGCATAATTACTTTCTAAGTTAATATGTATTAACTATAAAGTATATATCAGGCATTGTTCTAAAAGTTTTATATTTATTGGTTGATTTTATTCTTCCGAAAGCCATTATGCTATTATTTCCGATTATAGATGAGAAAACTGAAGCACACAGATGTTAAATGACATCTCTAGAAAGCCACAGCTAGTTAAGAGATACAATGAGATACTGCTCAGCCACCAACAGTGAAGTCCTGTCATTGACAGAAACATGGATGAATCTGCCAGACATCGTATTAAGTAAAATAAGCTAGGCACAGAAAGACAAGCACTGTATGATCTCACTTATATGTGGAATCTAAAAAAGTTGATTTCATACAAGTAGAGGATACAGTGGTAGGTACCAAGGCTTGGAAAGGGGCCAGGCGAGTGGAGATGCAAAGAGGTTATTCAGTTGGTACAAAGTACAGTGGGAGAGGAGGAATAAGTTCTAGTGTTCTATTACACTGTAGGGTGACTATAGCTAATAATAATTTATTTCAAAATAGGTAGAAGAGATAAATTTGAATGTTATCACCACAAAGTAAAGCTAAATGTTTTAAGTAATTAATATGTGAATTATGCAGATGAGCATTATACAATATGTACAGATATTGAAACGACACACTGTACCCCGTGAATATGTCTAACTTGTATCAATTATAAAGACGATACAAAAATAGGCAGAATTAAAAAGTTGGCTTAGAGCCTGTGCTCTATGATATCACATAAATTTCAGAAATTCCAAACTATCATGTGTTTGAAATCATAACATGTGTGTCTAGAATTAATATTTATTACATAAGATAATTTTAACATCATGTAGAAACAGAAAAATCTCAGAACACTTTGTTTTAATTTTAAATAAAATCTGTGTGTGTGGGTGTGTGTGTGGGTGTGTATATGCGTGTGTGTCTTTGTATGTGGGTTTCAAAGATTAACCAAGACCCAATCTAGGATCTTATGTAGCTGTTCAGAGCTTTATATGTAGAATTTGAAACAAACATGAAGTCATGTTATGAATAGTATCACAATGAGAAATATGTTAGCCATAAAATATTTATAGAAAACTTGCATTTAAAATATCCAAAACAGTGTTCCTTAAGTAAATAAGGTCACCATGTTTACATTCAGGTATTGTGCTTCAGAATTTGCATGATATATATGGTTGAAATACAAAGGAGTCTAATACTTTTCTATCTGAATTGGAGATAAATATTTACAAAATTGCAAAAGAAATCGTTATTATAATAGTTGACCCATAACTCCTACCTGCTGAATTTTACCCACGTTTTTAACTGGGAAGCTGCCCCTTGTTTGTTTGTAGGTTTTCTGGGCTTGGTTTAAGTCTGTAACTATAGATAGGTCAGTATCTGTAATTCCCCCAAATTATGTTTTTACTACTGTCTTTGCTTCTGGTATCTAGCTATGAAGCTATGAATTCAGTTTTATAATCAAAGATCATTCAAAGTAATTTTAAAAACTGAAGCTAGGTCCAAAACAAACATAATGGTAGGTGATAGGTGAGGAATGGATGGGGTTTGAAGCCTTGAGAAAGACAAGTTGAGTGAAGTTAAGGCAGGTCCTGAAACATATCCCATGCTAGTTTGAGTGGTCAGTTTGGCATTTCAGAAACAGTGGCTGATAACATTTGCTCTCACTTATTCAATGTAATTTCATTGGATTTTGGTTTGAAGTTTTCAGGGAGGCAAGAGCAGAGTTTAGATTCTATATTTTGGTGTTAAAAAAAAGGAAAAGTTTATACTAGATAAATATTTATAGTCCTGAAAGCCCAATTAAGACCTTTTGGAGTTCAGCTGCCTCATCTTTGAAATAAACATAAATTATCTGCTTATAAAAACAATTATAGCAGTGGAATAAAACAAGCAAACAAAAATTAATAGAGCTCTTTTAATGGGATTTCTTTCTGTTTAGTTCTTTGACTTAAAAAGGCATTCTCTTTTACCTTCTTCATGTCTAACATTTACTGTTCTTTCTATTCACAAAAAGATTTTAGAATTATTTTTAGTTTCAATTGACAAATAAAAACATATACTTTGACATACAATGTGGTATTTGATATATGTAAACAATGTGGAATGATTAAATCAATTTAATATATTCATCACCTTACATACTGATAAATAAAATTGTTGAAGAGATATTCACACTTCCATGTCCTTTACAGCATTATTTACAATAGCCAAGATATGGAATGGATGGAACCTAAGTTTCCATCAGTGAATGAGTGGATAAGGAAAATGTAGTATATAGACACAATGAATACTATTTAGTCTTAAGCAAGAAAGAAGTTCTGTCATTTGCAACAACATAGATAAAACTAGATAACATTATACTAAGTGAAAGAAGCCAGGCACAGAAAGGCAAACACTGCAAGACCTCACGTTGTGAAATCTAAAGCAACAACAACAACAACAACAACAAAACTGCGTATAAGTAGACAGTAGAATGGTACCAGCAGGATAGAGGGTAAGAGAATGAAGAGACGTTGGTCAAAGGACACACAATTTCAGTTAGACACTAGAAATAAATTCAAGAGTCTATTTTACAGCATGGTAACTATAGTTAATAATAATGTATTTTATGTTTGAAAATTGCTAAGATAGTAGATTTTACTGTGTTTTATTATTATTATTATTTTTTTAATGCACCTTGGGCCCTAGTGAGTTTCAGTACAATGTTGGATAACAGTGTGTTGCAGTCATGGAATCTTAGCACATAATTTGCTAGCTTCATGACCCTTCATAAAGCACATAGCTTCTTGAGATTCTATTTCTTAATCTATAAAATATAGGTGATCATAATTACTACTTTAAGGTTATTGTGAGGATCAAATCGCAGTGTATGTAAAACACTGAAGAGTGTCTCCTGGATTACAATAAGACTCCAGAGAAGCTCTCCATGATTTTTACTATTTTTTATTATTTTATATTGTTACATTGTATGTGTCAAGAACATGCATAAACAGATGTGTACACACACACACACTCACATCCTCATACAATTCAAGGATCACTGATTTGCAGCTTACCTATATTTATCCGCTTATTCACTCCAGTTGGTTTAGGAATCGTACTACATTCAGAGAACCAATAAACATACACACAAACCCACATTCTAATGCTGTAATAGAATTTACTATTTTATATATTTATCAGGTTATTTTAAATAAATGAACATATGTTCAGTTCAGCACTACCTACCAAATATTATCATAATGCAAATGAGAACAGCAATTATGACTTCTGTCTTGAATCCCACGGAAAGCATAAGTTCCTGGTACTGGCAGGTCTGTGTGCTCCCAGTGTCATCACAGTCACAGACTTGGACAGTAAGGGTGTTTGTACTTGTGAGTGACGGGGTTCCGTTGTCGGCAATTAAGATGGAGATGTAGAAGACAGGCTCTCCTTGTAGGTTAAAACCAGTTCTATTAGTCAAAATGACAGCTGTGTTATCTAAAACAAAAATCCATGTGCGTAATTTTTTCAACTACATGAGGGAAATTTGTATGTAATTGTCACATATACTCAAGACAATAGTATAGAGATACAATCCAGTAAGTTCAAAGAAAAGGAAGGGAAATTTCTAATGAGAAGACAACTAAAATATCCACACTAAATCATTAGTGTTTTGACATTACCTAAACCCTAACGATGTAATCAGATGAATCATCTAAATTATGTAGTAAAATTACTATTTAATGTTATTAAATATTTAATTAATATTACTTAATTATTTAATTATTTAAAGTATTTATTTATTATTGAATTACTTAATTCAATTCTAAAGTGTCTTTGATTAATATATGAAACCTATGTATAACATAGAAAACAGCTTTGTAATCAGATATCGCAATTTATAGGGACTACCAATATTAAATGTGTGCTGATAGGGCTGACTTCATTTGTGTTAATTACACATGACACAGTTTATTTTCTAATACTTGGGATCCATTATTTTTACAAATGCAGTAAATATACAAGATTTTCAAAGTTATCTATCAAAGCACATGATCTGAAATAATGCATTTTCTAATTAAACACAATAATTTCACTTGGTAGACAATATCCTGTTAGAATATTTCATATCATTTTGATGTTATTAATCTATTTTGTATTTAAAATTCTGAAATCATTACACTTAGTCAGACTGATTCATTTACCTAGAGAGTCTATTCAAAAAATTCATGAAAACAAACAATAAACGCTTCAACACATGTACAATTACTCTTCTGTGAATCCCAAAATATCATAAATAAATAACTTTTTTCATTGTAATTTTGTGTGCCTCAGAATTGTATTTTCTCTTTACTTTTTTTTTTTTTTTTTTTTTTTTTGCCTTGCCTCAAAATATTTTCTGTCATCATCAGACAAACTTTGGAAGACAATGGCAATAAAAGAAAAATAAATAAAAGCCTTTTGAAATGCATGCTTAAGCAGGACATTTCCCAAATCATTTTTTTAAAGACATTTTACTATCAAGCTCTGAAAATCTATAAAGCCCATGTGATTTTATTTGCTAGGCAGATCTAGGAGGTGAGAGACAGTTGACGCTTTTTAAATATGTATTTTATTAAATTACTTGTGAGCACAAACATTAAACCAAATCAATTTTGTATGCTTCAATATATTTATTTTGCCTCAGTAATTTATTTTATATTAATATAAATGAATCTTAGCTGGAGTTTTAAAATATACTATATATGTTTTTCATATGTATGTATGTTTACATATGTATGTTTACATATATGTATGTATGTATATAAACATACATACATATATATTTTTTAAAACTCCAGTTTAGATTGTTAATATTAATGTATGTATTTGAAAATATAATTTAATTTTTTTTTCAAAAAATGCATATATATATTTAAAAAAATACACGTACCCCCTGAATCTAAGCATTCTTATATGGCTAAATTTTGTGGAAAGCAATTTGGAAATTTCTCAAAGAGCTTGAAACAGATATTTGTGACTTTTGTCTGAAATATTTTTGAGTTTCCTCCCCAGGGGAATTTGACAAGGGGAAAACAGACAGAAATGTGTTGCATTTACTGTCACATGAAAGATCTCTTCTGGAACAAAGCTTAACCTCAGTTGTAAGGAGAACTGCAGGTATTTGGTTACTGATACTTGACTAATAAATCCAACTGTGTTTCATAACTTTGAGGTATAAATAAATTAAAATAGAAGTCCTTATTATGACAAAAATGTTTCTTACTGAAGCTAACGAAAAAAAAGCAGAGTGGCTTCATATAAAGTTAATCCATCTCTACAAAAAGAAAATAAATTCTACTCTTACACAATATTCTTTGGAACATTTTATCCTTAGATTGATAAAAATTATTTAGTTTTGAAGGAATAAGAACTGTCTTAATCCAATTTCATATATTCTTAGCTCCTAATTAATGACCCTAAATATTTTGAATCAATCACGCTAACATGACTGCAACTAAGATAAATATCATTTTCTTTCTCAGTCATAGATTGAGGTCTCAGTTAGACGAGAACAGGAAAGGAGCCGTGGTGTCAGAACTGCAATTATATTTGCAGGGTCATTCTGACTTTACAAGAGCTTACAGCCATTGAAAATTTTAAAAGCTCCTTCTACTTTGAAGAAATGCAGTGAGAAATGGAGCCAATATTTTAGAACTTAATATTGGATTTCGTTTTCCATTTTCATTGTTACTCTTTTGCTTGATTTCCAAACATTATTATGTTGCAAGAACAGTATAAAAATCAATGTAGTGAATTCCTCTGAAGTCAAATATGAGTCAAAAAACTATATCAAAACTCATTATGAGCAAATGACATTACCTTGATTATCTATGATTGTAAAACTTGAATTGTTGGTGTCTTCTACAGATAGATGATAGTAAAAATGGTGCTCTTCTATGGATTCATCTCTATCCACTGCACTGATAGTCTGAATTACCTAAAAAAAAAAGAAAAAAAAAAAAAGAAAGGATAGATTTTTGTTGTTGTGTGGATTCAGGAAGAAGATAACCACCTTTATTATTACTAGTTTTTATTTACATTGCTTTATCTCAATCAATAGGGACACTGCAGAAAATGACTGTCAAATATTGGAGAACATTAAAATATTCTCTCAGGCTAAAAGTATGTTCACTTGCCTCTTAGGGTGTTATAATACTGCATAATAAACAAATTCCTGTTGATGGATCAGCTGATTTCCAAAAAGTACATTTGTTAGAAGTTGCCAAAGCACCGCTTCTGTATTATTCATACCCTCCCTGCCTACATTTCTCTCTTTCTTCCTCCTTTACTTTTTCTTTAACTGAATGTCAGACATTGTGATTTGCTTAAGTTGTGTATTTCCTGTTTTTACTGAGAGCAAAACTGTGGTAGAGTTATCAGCTTACTAAACTCTTTGCTAAAGTAATGAGATTTTTAATTGATTTGAGGAAATAACACATTTAAAATGTAGGGGCAGAATATATAATTTCCTTTGACCCATAAAGATTATAGGAAAGTGTTTCACATCAAATAAGTTCATCTCTATATCTCAGATAATAAAACAGTGAAGTAATGCAGATATGAACAAATCCATTCTCAATTAATTTTCTTCTTTCAAGACATGAATGTGTCAGTCAAATAGTTTATTATTGTTGAAAAAGATATGCTGTCAAGATCACATAGTGAGATTGTGATTAATTCTGGAAATTAAAGTAAATTGATTATAGAAGTTATTGTTTTGAATTTTCTAGAATTAAAATGCTTTTAACAATATGTCAAACAAAAATAGACTCAGATGCAAGATGACAAACCCAGATTTATGTTATACTTCAAAAAAATAGATTATGTCTTCGGGAGCATAAAGAACGTCAGGAAATTAATATGATCTGTATATTACTGTTTTAGATTGATTTATTTTTAACTCATAACACATTACTAATATAATACTTATTTAGTGTTAAGTAATCTAACAAAACATATTTTATTCAATCCATGCTTATAATTATACATGTGGATATTGACTTGTATTAAGGTAAAGCCTTTATTTTAGAATATCATAGAATTTTGTAAAGGCTGGGTAAAGGGCAGGGGCTTGGAATCCTAATATTTCGAATCCTGGCTTCACCACTTAAACGCTTTTAACCTTGAAAAAAAAATATTAATACTTAACCTGCAGGGTTCATTTTCAGGATCATAGGCCTCTGGGGTTCTCAAAGAGTTTGTCACGTGACAAACTATTATGTGTTTCTATGTCTATTATGTATTCCTCATGAAAATATTCTCTTGTTGAATTTTTGCATACCATGGTGTCCTGAATATTGTTAGTAATATGTGTATGAATATCTTTATATGTGTATTTACTGAAGTAAGATTGATAGCAAAGTATAGAATTTCTGTTTATCTTGCTGGCATATGTGGTTACTGTTCAGATAAGAAATATTTTATTTTACCGTCTGATGTTCTATATCAAATATAAGCATCTGACTAAATGTTGCAAATGTCTCCTTTTGGGGAATGAAGGCTTAAGAAGACTAGAGATACACTGTATGTATTTCAAAAGACTTTTAATGAATCAAAATACCTTATACATAAGTACAGGAAACTGAATGAGCAGGGCTTCAACAGTCTGCCCCTTTTTAATGAACATGTCTCCACTTATATACTCTGTAAGTTGAGCTTCCAATAAGATATATTTTACTGGCTTTCATAATTGTTTTATAAAAATAGGAAGCCACTGACATAGTATCAGTCATATATCAAATATTATGAATTTTATTGAGTTTATCTTAAACAGATACACTTAAAAATAAATGCATATCTCTAATAAAGGGACTACATTAATGTACTCATAAATCTTGATGGAGGATATTCATTTTTCCTTTAAATATAACAATGAAAAGGTTTTAGTATTAATTTTAAATTAAAAATCTTAGAAAAACATTTATTTGTTGCACTGGTTGCTGTTTACTTACATGTCTTTATCTGGGGCCTATCGCTGGCCTTACAAATTTATGAAAGGGATAAAGATAAATTAAAAGGTAAAAATATATACCAAAAACAGCCATGGCTTTAGAGATTGGGAAAAGAGGAAATAAAAATAATTCCAAATTACGACAAATTCTGAAAGCTCAGATTTGTAATTATCTTTTTTCTCTCTAGGTAGAATTTTGGCCAATTTATTTCTGACATGATACATTCAGTTCTCTCTATACAGTGCATTGAAAGGTATAATAGAAATATATTGTGTAAGTGCCAAGAATCGAAAACTAACTACAATTTAATAAAAACTTACCTATGGACCAGGTTATGTTCTATTCATTACCTTAGATAATCTTCACAATGGTTCCTTAAAATAAATTCTATTATTGTTTCCATGTTATAAATGTTTATATTAAGTTTCATATATGCTAAGTGTCTTAGGTAAGTAAATTGGCTGGGCCAGAATTAGAATGTAAGCTGTTGTCACAGGCAATGTGCAATACGAGTAGTAAGTGTAATCTTCTAGGACATATTGTTCATGCTCTAGACCCGTTCTTGTCCTAGCAGATTCACATACAAAACGGTATTGTAAAAAGTATGGAATTTCAAAAGCAAGTAAAAACGTATCTCATGAAAGATAATGACAGGGAAGTAAGTAATATAATTTTATAAAGACCAAAATAATGGTTAAAAATAGAAGAAAATAATATGTTTTAATATGGGAGAAAGGGAAGATTTTCTAGGGTAAGAGTACAGCCAATGAGCTAATACTTGAATAAAAATATGAATTGGTGAAAAAAGTGTGATCCTAAGCAAAGAATGCCATGAAAAATTCATTAAGGCAAAGAGAGCATACATTAGGTAGAAATATATGAAATTACTATTTTGTAAGTCAAAGATAGCCGACTATTGGAAGTTTCATAAATTTCAATTTAGTTGTTTTATGAGACTATAATCATGATTTGACTTGAAAGATAATCAGGAAAATAAAGATAATCATTTGCCTGCTATTAATCATTATGCACTATATCTTTTTAAGAAAAAGAAATTGAGCATGGGCCAGCTTACTAAAATATCATTCCAGATTAATTATCCTGAGTCAAAAATAAGCCCAACGCTCACATTGACAATCGTCAAACCAAAAATATGGTCCTTATCAAACATGCAATTGACGGACATGTAGTTTAAGATGCAACTCCTATACTCAATGATTTGCAGCAAGCAATACATTTGTGTCTGTTTTCTCACCTTCATGGCAGGTCACAATGAAACCCGCTTCCAGAATTAGTCAGTGAATAAATTGTTGAATAAGAATATAAACTATAAATTGCATCATGAACTTTAAATCAATATATAAATACCAAGTATTAATTTATATACATTATCAACTCCTTGAAATGCACTTAATAAATAATGCTTCTCAAAATAAAAATGTTAAACAAAAAGTTACAGTTGCAATAAATGAATACTTGGAAAGATTTTCCTAAATATCTTATCTGAGTTGCTTATTTAGTTATTCTAGGTAGGTATATGTGATATCATGTTAAAGATGCAAATTGTCTCCCATTGCCAGTAAATTATTATCCAAAAATATGTGTAAGATCATCACTTTTTATACTACTCTAGTGAATAAACGATTTTAAATTACATGTTTTGACAAAATAAATCCACAAAACTAAAAAATATTGTTGAACATCTGCTCAGAGACAAAATGCAAAATAATACACTAATATAATTAGAACAAACAAGAAAATCTAGAGTGTAGTATGCTTGTTTTCTTTCTTTGTTTAGCAAAATATTAGAAGAAAAATTTTGAAAAGCTTATTATAGCATAATATTTTAGACCTGAATAGAACTGGGATACTCTAAGTTTTCTAAAAGGACTTTTCACAAAGTTGCATTATATATATTAAAATGCCATAGATATCATAATTGTATTGCCATTAAATTGTAGAAATCTAGTCAGTAGAAAAATACACATTTCTAGATTTTTATCTCAATGCGTATTTTCTAAGTTTCCTTTTTTAAGATAATATTTCAAATATACTTTATAAAATTTACATAAAATCAGCATGTATGTGAAAAAATATTAAATATTAAATTATAATAATTTATAATAAATAAAAAATATTAAAATATCTCATTTGTATCTTAAATGTGTCCATTTAAGATGTATTTCATTAGTACTTACAGCACACCAAGCAATCCTATACCCTGGGGGTACAATGATGGATAAAGTCAGTCTCTGTCACCAGTGTTCACATTCTAGTGGTATAGAAGACCAAGCAGAATTGCAAACTTAAAAAGTACTAAGGGAGTACAGAATACCTAAATTACATAATAAAAGTTATAAACACCTAAAGTACTTAATATTTAAACACTGTGGAGGAAGGTTAGAGAACCTGGTATTTATGCTGAAATTAGAAGGTCATACTGCAAAAGTGAGCAGGGGATACACTGCGGGTATGTTAAAGAGTTTTCAACTTCATATTGAGGGACATTCCCAGGTTCTAGGTTGGGAATGACATGATCATTACTTTTATTGGGATCTCATGGTTCCAGGGAAAGAACGTGCATTTTAGAATGCTCCTTCTGAGGACATCCTGGATGTAGGCCTGAAAATAGAGAATCTAGTCCACAAGCTATTGTCATGATCCTAATGAGCTACTGCTCGGTCATCAAAATCTCTTTATGTGATACACAAAACAAAAAAAACAGAAAACAAAACTCTCACAAACTCCATTATGGAATGTACTGTTTTAATGAGAAACAATACATAAATTACCGAACAGTGTTTATAAATTGAGGATGGTGCAGTATGCTTCAAATAGAGATGCAGCTCCTGAGTCCCAAAATTTGCCTGAGGATATGCTGAGCTTCACATGATGTGACAAAAGTCAGGTTTTCTTCACCATTTTCAAGAGAGCGATATATGCCGCTCACTATTTTCCATTCAGTAAAATCTGACTCTCCTGAAAA